CCTTTGCTTTGTTTTTTCAATCTTCCAGGTAGGTGCCTGGAGGTGCTTTGATGGATCTCTACCCTGGACACTGAGGGACTTGGTCATTTTGGGTCATCTCGGTGTTCCTGGGGGGAAGAGACCAAGTAGGGTCCTAGGTCAGAGCTTGTCTTCGGTCTGGCTGAGTGCGGGCTGTGGATGCCTCTAAACCTCACTTCCTGCCATTGCCCAGGGGTCCACTAAGCCCCTGGACAACCAGGGACTGGAAGTTGTTTATCAGTGGATAGGAGCCTGCTCACTTTCCATTCATGCATTCAGCAAAACTTGCGACAAGTATAACGTGTTGGCCACACCTTGTCATCCAAGCACTCTGGGAGGCTGAGGCAGGAGGTCTGCAGGCTGGAGCTCAGCTAGATCAACTTAGTGACTTAGTGAGACCTTGTCTCTAAATACAGAGCAAAGGGAAAGGAGAGGCCAGGACATGTAGCTCAGCGTGACGGCCCTGGGTCCAATCCCCAGTACCACAAATAAATAACAATAAAACTTCATGGTGTCCGTTGACCTTGTGCCATGGAGCTGGCCACTGTCAGTGTGTCATAGGACCCCATCCCGGGTAGGATTGTCTCCTCCTACTGCCACGGCACACAGGGGAACAGAGAAGATGGGGGGAGAGTGGGGGGCATGGGACCCATGGGTGCAGCCAGCTGGACCATGTGGCTTTCACTGTGCAAAGCAGCAGGAGGAAGGCCCTGTGCCGGGCTCTGCTCCTGCCTCCGGCACTGGTGTCTCAGAGCTGAGCCGCTCCGCCGCCTCTTTCAAGTCTGGGGAACCGCAGAGGGGGCCACCTGGCTGCTGCACCTCCCGCCTCCCACTGGAGGCTTTGGACACCTATAAAGTGCCTTACCTGCCCTTCCAGGTTGCCTGGGTTCAAAGAGGCGATTTCACAAGCAGGACTGTAATTAGAGGTTTTATGGTTTGTTGTGTTTTGTTTTGCTCTCTGGGAACAGAAACCGCCTTCCTTATAATATTTGCAACTTGCGTTCGCCCACTCTGTGTTAGATGCCGTGCACTAGTTGCATGGTTTTGCTTAATGCTCCTAAGAAGCTATGAATTTGATATTGTGCTTTGTAAGAAATGAGGGAAAAAATGAGATCCAAAGGTGAGCAATTCCCCCAAGTCTCTTTACGCCACCAGCCAGACACACAGCTGGGGTTGGATAAGTGTGCTCCCTGGAGCACATGGAAGGGTGAAGGAAACTGGGTGCAAGTCTGCTGGGGAGTATCAGGGGTCTACAAAGAACGTGGAGCAGTGGTGTGGATTAAACAGTGTCATCTGGAGGTCAGGGTTTGCAGGGCTTCCACCTACTGTCAGTGCAGGGAAGGCTGTGTCAGGAGAGGTCTCTTATTTCCGTACAAAACAAGATAAGGGGGCCCCTGCTTCCACACACCAGGAAGGAAGGAAGGGGTGGTTCTGTGTGGGGAAAATCATGTTAAGAGAAACTCTGCATGGAAACTCACAGAAGCACACTGTAGTGAAGTGACACTGAATAACAAGAGTGTGAACTCACAGGATCTGCTTACACCTAAGCACCACCAGCCACAGGGGGGGCTTTGAGGGAGAAAAGCTCTATATGAGAACCAAGTGGCTCCTCTAAGTGGGGTCACTGTTCTTTCTGGGCCCCTCTGGGAAGCAAAACAGGTGTCTAAGGGGAGTCTGCAATTCTTTTAGATCTCTATGTTACATACACTGTGAAGACAGGGGGATTCTCAGCCTTGTGCAAGGTGATTTGGGGATTCTGAAGGTGACTAAAGTCTGCCTGTGCTTAAGGAATTCACACATCGGTTGTTCAGTAACACCCCACAGTCCAGGTGTATGTGCAAAGCACCCCAGTACACAGGCACTATGTAAGAAAATAAGCAGCAAACTCTACATAAGAATCCATGGTGGGCAGACTTATCCATCCATCCACCCATCCATCTGTTCATCCATCCATCCATCCACCCATCCTTCCATCCATCCATCCATCCATCCATCTGTCCATGCATCTATCCATCTATCTGTTCATCCATCCATCCATCCATCCATCTGTCCGTCCATCCATCCATCTATTAACAAATATGCACCAATCACCATTATGGCTTCCACATGCCAATACTTTTTGAAAAAAGAAAGATGAACACATCAGGCTATTCACTTAGAGAATGGAGCAGGAGTGATGAGTTTCTGTTGGTAGGGTTGGGGTGCCCCCTGGATTACTCCAGTCTCTAAGATATGCTACCTAAGAGTACCACAGATGCATGCTTGGGGGTTAGGAGCAACCATGAGAGTGGAATGTTTCTGCCTTAAAATTCACTAAGTGTTCAGCGCTCAGTACTCAAGGGAATCCTCATGAGCACCTTGGTCAGTAAAGTCAACCCTCCAGACCTCTGCAAAAATAGACTTCAAAAAGTATTCAAAGCATAATAAAATTGTAAAGAAAAAACTACTCAATGACCAACTTCACCAGCTTCAAACACAAGGTTATTGATTCCCTAATGTTTCCTAAAATCATCACTATGAAGACTCAGATCTTGCAGAGAGATCAGGAGGTGGATCATGAGGTGGCTGGTTCCCTTCCCAGTCCATCCTCAAGGGTCTCAGCCAGTGTCTCTGGTCCCTCTGAGGCAGCCCTGGAGCCTAGCAACACTGTCCTAACCCTTCCCTACCATTCCACACCACCGCTGCCCATAAAGACAGCTGGCCCCTCGAGGAAGGGGCCCCACAACTGAGGGACACGAAAAATCTGGACAGACAGGCCTGGCTGGGTCTCCGCACTTGGTCTGTTCCCATGCGCTCCCACGCTTGTTCCAGTCTCAGTTCTGCATGGCTGTCGCTACTTCATAAAACCTAAGAACTAGGTCGGGGACCTCGCCTGGGCTTTTGCCTGTTCTTCTGAAGGCTCTCATGTCACTAACGTGTGGTTAAATATGTTCCTTAGGCTTTTCTCTTGCTGAAATGTGGTATAAAATGGACAGTAAATACGTTGATTTCTATCAGTCGTGTGTGTGTGTGTGTGTGTGTGTGTGTGTGTGTGCACATGTGCGCTAGGACTGGAACCCAGGGCCTCATGCTAAGCTGCACTTGCAGCCCTCCAACCTTACTTTTAAAAAATCTGTTGGTATTTTAAAAAAAGAAGTTTTGACTCGCAAGCAGCATGCTAATTATTCCAGTGTGTGGAAACTGAGCAGCTTTTGGAGATAAGAGGACAGCATGCAGAGTGAAGAGCCCCTGGGGTCAGCAGGGCCGGCCGCTCTGGCTCCTGTATCCTGATGGCTGCCTGTGCTAGGAAGCAGAGAGAAGACAGAGGGAAGGTAAACATCCCACAATGGCCCATCCTGTGTGGACTACAGTCCTACCTGCTTATCTCCTCTTCTGAGAGCACCTGGCGATATTCAAAGTCCACACAGTCAAGCCTTGCCCACTGCACGGCCACTAGACTGGGCACCTCCAGGACAGGACGGGAGCTGTGGCATCTGCTGGCCTCCAGTGCTTAGAAAGGAAGCCTGGGCTTGTGCCTGACTGTGCTTGATCAAGGGCAGAGTGGCCAATGAACCTGGGTTAGGCACAGCCCCAGGACTGTTAAGAGCCGCAGGGGCCAAGTGGCTCGGGTTTCACACACCCAGAGCCCAGGATGAGCCTTGAGTGCATATTCCAGGATCAGAGAGGATCGCACATCCATGAAGTCAGTACAGCCTGACCGGCTTCTGCAAGGCCAGTGACCTGGCAGACAGTGAGGGATCACTAGGAGTGTCCCTGGACAGGAAGGGGCGAGACATCAGGTACCAGAGCAGGAGTGGGCACCCTGCCTTGGGAGCCGCATTCCCAACCCCTTGGGTCATAAATAGCACCGGCCGCCTTTGACAAATTGGGACGAATCGGGCCAGGAATTTAGGCTTCATAGATACAGCCGGGAGTCTGTTAAGCCCTTCACGCCACTCTACGCTTTTCCTAGCGGTTACCTATGCATCTTATCTTCACAAAGACAGGAGCAAACATTATTGCAACTTAGTATGTGTACCCTCGAAATCGCCAAGGCCCTTTAGGCCTTTGAAATGCAGAAGGATTCGGCTGGTTTCCCACTCTTGTTTGTTTATCTCCCAAAGTTATGCAGGACCCCTGCAGAGGAAGGTCCCAGGCCCCAGGGGTGTGACACAGCGGGGGGGGGGGGTCGGTGGCGGCTGGGGACTAGACGAGGTCTCTGTTCCCAGGGATTTACAGCCAGGTGTGCACACACAGGTCCTCAGAGTAGGAGGTGAGATTCCAGGGTTTTCATAGATATCCCTGGAGGTGGTGTGGGAGACCAAGACGGGAGTTTTGGACAATTTGGGGTCCGACTCAAGTTTAGAACTACGGTGGGGGATGGGGGTAGAACAGTTATTTTTTAAAAAAAAATTTTTAAGGCAGTAGCGGAGTCAAGGCCTGGACGTCGGAGGATCGCAGCTGGGAGCGAGGTCCCTCCAGAGGCGCACAGCGAGGACGGCTGCGTTTGCGCCCCGCTGAGCTTGCGGAGGCCGAGGCCAGTAGTCGCGGAGGGAAGCAGGGCTGAGACTTCACACTGCATCTCTGGGCTCCGACTTCGCACCCACTGGTTTCCTTTTGAAAAAAAAAAAAAAATTCTCCTGCTCTTTCCTCCCGAGTTGCCCAGCATGGGAGGTGGGGATCATCGCTTTCCAAAGTCAACGCGTGTAAGTTTCAGGTCTCCAGGGGGCCCAGGGAAAGGAACCGCGCACTCCGGGAGCCCGGAGAGGCCAGACGCTAGCGAGGAGGCCGGGCCCGGGACCCACGTAACGATCACCAGTTACCGTGCCTCAAGGTCACCGGCGCGGGGCGCAGGGCTGCAGGCCGCACCGGGCCGCGCGCCCCACCGGCGGGGCGAGGGGCAGAGGCGGGGAGCGCGGTGCGGGAGGAGGAGGAAGCGCGCGAGGGAGGGAGGGGAGAGAAAGGGAGGGAGGCGGCGTCATGTGATCCGCTTTCCTGCTCCTTCCAGCGTCCACAGGCGGCGGAGCGGCCACAATCACAGCTCCGGGCAGCGAGCGGGGCGCGATCGCCCGGGCTGGCAGCGGCGCCCGCGCCCGGTCCCATCCTCGCAGCGCTCGCGCACCGGGAAGTTTCGCGGCGGCGGCGCCCGGCCAGGGGCGCGCGCAGGAGGCAGCGGCCGACGCGCCCCGCAGCGCTGAGTGCGAGAAGAAAAGCAAGGCGGGGTGTGCGGTGGGGGAGAAGAAAAAACATTAAAGTCAAGCCCACGGCTCGGGGGCCCACGCGCAGCCATGGCCGGGGCCATCATAGAAAACATGAGCACCAGGAAGCTGTGCGTGGTCGGCGGGATCCTGCTGGCCTTCCAGGTCGTCGCCTTTCTGGTGGGAGGCTTGATCGGTGAGTGCGGGAGCCGAAAACTTTCCCCTCCCCGCCCGCCGCCTCCCCGACTCAACGTCTCCCGGGTCTGGTCCCCGGCCCCTCCGCGCTCGCCTCTCCGGGCGAGTTGTTACAGTATCACTGCCTCGCCTCTATGATCTAATTAGTCCGGCTATTGTGCTTAAGAAAGCAGAGCTCCATGGGGCTCCGTGGGACACAATCCAGTCTAGTGGCCGAGAGAAAAGGAGGGGAAAAAGTTTTGGCCTAGTTTCAGTATCCACTTGAAGGGCAGCGGGCGGGGATCCGATCGCAGCATGGCGTCGACGCGCGGGGAGGCGCCGGCCGGAGTGGGTCCCCCACCCCCGCCCCTTACTCCACCCGGGCCCCGCTTTTATTTTTCCGCTCCCCCCCCCCGACCCGTTTTCCTCTCCGTTTCCTTCCCATCAGCTCCCCGAGGGAGGGCAGCGTAGTCGACTTTGGGAGAACAACAGGAGAGTCGGGGAAACTGCGCCCGGCGCGCAGCCGGGACTCCTTCTGAGCCCGTAGCTCTGCTCGGGGTGACGCTTGCCTGGGGGGGGGGGGGTCCAGCCTTTGCGCGCTCTCGGAAGACCACGCTGCATGGATCTTAGCTGCTACGGGCTGGAGGTGAGGCGGACAGGGCGGGTGTGAAGGTCCTTGACACCCCGCGGAGCCGGGAAGCTCGCTGAGAAGAAGCGTTCCCCCACCCCACCCCCAAAGGTGCTGCCTAGGCCCGCCGTCCCCGCCCCCACTTCGTAGAGCCCGGGAGCCAGCGAGTCTGGAGCTCTTGGTCCCCCGCAGGTGACAGCTTCGGAGCCTGGGGCGACGGCGCCCACTCTGGGAGACCCCCAGTGGCACGCGCTCTGGGACCTGGAGCTCAGAAGCTCCGCATCTTCCACTCGGGAAGCCCTGCCTCCTCCCCTGCTGCGGCCTCTCCGCCTCCATCCATCCTTTCGCGCGTTCCACGCGCGCGTCCCCCTTCCCCCTGCACGTTTGGGACATCCGGGCGCGAACTTCAGCGCCAACTCTGCAGCAGCGCGGAGTGAAGGCTTGACCGCCTCCTTGCAGGCCCCGCAAACTTTGCCCAGTGGAGAAATGCGGACGGGGTCCCCCGCGCGTCCCCTCGGGAACCGCGAGGGCTGCACCGGCGTGGGCGCCTCGGGCTGCGTGCGGGACGTTTGGTCTGCAGACCTGGGTCTGACGGGGGAATAGCGTTACAGACAGCCTGGCCCTGGAAATCCCTGTAACAGCCGAGCTAATTGTTTTAGACAAAGGAGAGCGCGTGAAGCTTCTAAGAGGAGTGCAGTTCCCGCGGGAGATCGCGCCTTTCGGAGGGCTTCTGTCCCCAAAGCAGGAAGGGCGCAGAGTTTTCACGCTCTTCTCCTCGAGGTGGGCCAGACGACTTCAGCTTTTTATTTCTGGAACCCTCACCCTCAATGCACGCGCGCACGCTCACACACACACACACACACACACACACACGCACGCACGCACGCACGCACGCCGGTTTGGCTTTTGTGTGCTGAGAGCCTGTTTGACTGCGCACAATCTCTGTTTCCCTGTATTGGATTTTTCGAGGCTCTTAATGCCTTCTCTGCTGGGAGCGCAAGCCTCACCCTCGGTGATTATGCAGCGGTTACAATTACACCTCTTGTCTGGCTTGGTGAGCAGTTGCAGTTAGATGCCATTGGATCTTGTGTGATTTCAGTGGCAGACCATAATTAAAATTTCTTGCACCTCGTGCTTTCAGAATTAAATTGGCCTATTATCCCTGCCTGACCTTCATCCTCTTTGAGGTTTTTGCACAAGCAGTGAACCATTACACATAGTTTCCTGGTGCTAACTAGTGTGCCCTTCTTTTTTTGTTGCTGAAGCTGATCTCTTGGGTTTGGCTCTCTTGGTGCAGATTCCTAGACGCTTCTGGAAGGAGCAGGATTTCTGGAATCTTATTACTGCCAAGGAGGAGGTCCCAGGAGCCTGTGAGGGGCTGTTGAACACTGGAGGTGCCTGGCTTCACAAGAGATGTTTGTTGAAGCAGGGTTTGTGCAGGGGTACATAATATCAAGTGTTGTTTTCCCATAGAACTTGGTTAGTGAGCAAGGCAGATGACCTCAAAGTCCACAGGAGGCCTTCTGCATGAATAAACTGCTTCTGATCCTTGTGGGGAAATTGCTATGGTTTAAGTTTACCCCTTATCTTCCCCTCCTCTCTTGCTAGTTTGAAACTGGACACACTAACTGAGCCCGGGCTGAATAATGCCTCAGCCTTTCCAGCTACCTGCTGGAGAGTTAATATTTTGGCTCTTAGACAAACCCAAGCGCATAAGGCATGCTGCAAGACCCAAGTATGGGAAAGGAATTTTAGAAAAAGGTAAGTAATAGATTTTCCCGCCCAACTTCCTCCCTGTAAATGAAACTGAGCAGAGAACTTCAGCAATGTGGGATCAGTAGTGGGAAGAATTTATGACCCAGAAAGTCGAGGTGAAGTTTAGAACCCAACTCTTCTCTGCCAGGCCCAGAACAGAATGCCCAATGCTACTGCTGCTGCTTAAGGGGCCACGAGTCTTGGGTGAGGTGTCTCCCAAAAAACCCTCGGGAGGCCAAGGGAGAGGAAGCAGTGCTGCTTGCTGACCACGGACAAGATCCATGGGGACCATGGTTGCCCCTGGTGGCAGCTTAAGAAGGGAGGGTCCAGACTGCAGAACTCATGATGTGGAGAGCTCCCCAGCATGAAAACACACAGCCACCCCCCAGAAAATGTGCCAGGCCAGGATCCCCAGAGACTTGGTACAAAGTGGACTTGTCTCCTTGTTGGTGGCTGAATGAGTTTAAAGTCCCTTTCCGTCCTCGTTGTGTGATCCTTTTAGTTTATATGATATTTGGATTGATTCTTGGTTGTAGTTTCTAGAATTGGTGTGAAAAATGTTAGCTGTAAAGCAAATGGGGAAGTTGGAGGTTTGGTTCAGCCAGTTTAAATCCTTCCTGACCCCAGTAGCCTTGGGGCCAAGTTTGATTGTTTGTTTGTTGTTTACTTTGTGTGTTTATCTCTCTTTGCAGTATGTATATGCTGCTACACCTTTAATGGTATTTTGCAAAAAACAAAAAAGGTGGATGGGGGGTTCGGGAAGTTAATATGAAAGAACTTGGAATGTTTAAAAATTCAGTGATTTCTATCATGCTTTAGTAAAAAAAAAAAAAAAAAAGCTCAGAGCCACTATGAAATCAGACATCTGATTGTTTCCTTCCAGACACAGAAAGCTTCTCAAGTGGCTGACATCTTTAGTATTTAGCATTCACTTTAAAATTTAAGAACCCCGAAGGAAAAGAATATGTTTTCAAAAGATACAGCTTAATCTTAATCCTCCTTAAAAATAAGCATGCAGAAAAATTTAAAAATAATTTTCCTTTGATTTCATGTTTGGTGAGTTTAGTTCGGAAGAGGCAGCTGCCGCCCTCACCAAGACTCTAGCAGACTAGAAATCTTGGACTTCAATCCCTGGCCCATTACGTGCAATTTTCTCAGCTTCCAATTAGTCACGTCTACCGGATAGGGTTGAAAAAGCAGGTCATTTTCGCCACTGCTCCAAAACTATTAAGGGTATGAAGATCAGGGTGAGATGAAAGGAAAATTGCTGATGGAGTGTGCCCGTAGATGAGAACATTCCACACATCCACCCACAGCCCGGCCATTAGGATTTCCTCAGGAATGCTCGCTATGTCTTTCACACTAATGTAATGGACGTAAGCAGACACCTGCCCACATGCACAGGTAACCTTTTTCCGAATGGTGCATGGATTTATCTACCTTCAAAAATATAGCACGTACTCCTGTCTGCTGCTGTGTTACACAGAAACTTGATGGTCTGGATTGCGGGCCATTCAAATGGGCTCTCATTTCTGTTGCTATTGTTTATTTGAAAGTTGCAGAATTTTAAATTTAATAAAATTTCAGTTCATGCAGAGTAGATATTTGTTCTCCAATATATTCCATTTAAGTTTTTGCATATATTTTGACATATCAATGAGGCACCATTTGTAATCCTGTAGTGTTCAGCTACCTGCTGAGAATGTAAAACTACATTAGTTAATTGGAATTTGGTTGATTTTTATCCATGATTTTCAGCATTTGACTCAGTCTTGTTTTGTAAAATTTTGTATCTAACTAAACCATTGTCTTTTGCTCTTTGTTATCTAGTGAGGTTTGTAAGGAGTACTGTGGGGTTCATCTCTTAAGGACTGGTGATTTTGGTTTACAAATGAAATCACATTTTTTTACTTTTAAAAAGCTGAGCTTTCTGCTTGGTTATTGCAAAGAAATCGTGCTTGTGGGAACAATCTAATCTATGATCATTGCTCATCTGATCTTTCAGTGTAGCCTGTCTAACTTTCTACTGGAACTCTCTCTTCCCACCAGAAAAATGAGAAACATTTCTTTGGGAAACAATGTTACTGGTAGCTTTGAGGGACCTTCAGAACCCCTGCTTGAAAACCAGATCTAGATTTAAAACCTTCCAGACATGTTTTGTTTTGTTGTTTGTTTTGACTTAGGATAGCCCATGTAATTCAGGCTGACCTTGAACATACTGTGTAACCCTGGCCTCACGTTGACAGAGATCCTCCTGCCTCAGCCTCCTAAATGGTGGGATTGTAGGCCTGCACCACCACAGTGAGCATCATTGACACTTTTTAATAACTTGGCCTTTAAATTTAAAAATATCTGTATAGATTGAGGAAAGATTCTTACCTTATTTTCCTCTTAAAAGTGTTTCTTAAAAGTATTTCTATGGAGATTTAGAGTTTATGTTAAGACTGCATGAAGGGTTTCTGTGCCATTTACCTAATCTGTTTTATTGGGGCCTGCGGCATGCTCAGGGTGGGTGGAGCTGAGATGCCTAGAGGGTTGGTACAGAGGAGGCTTAGAGCGGTCCCAGCTGTGGAAGCCACTCCCATCCTTTGGACAGACCTCGTGATCACTCTGTGACCGAACTGCATCCCCAGCCCTTT